CCCGCTCCTGCTGCAGCAGCAACAACAGCAGCAGCAGCAGCAGCAGCAGCAACAGCAGCAGCCGCTATAATGACCATCGAGAGTCCACGAGGCTTCGCTCTGCCCCTCGTTTGTCTGGTGAAATGCAGCTCAACGGTGGCTAGCTAGCTAGCTAGCTAGCTAGCTAGCGATCTAACTAGCTAGCTAGCTAGCGATCTAGCTAGCTAGCTAGCTAGCGATCTAGCTAGCTAGCTAGCTAGCTCGAAGGACGCACTTAGAGGTTGTGGGCGCAGCACTGGTGTGGGGGGCCCTATGATTTGAGGCAGCAGCAAAATGTGCAGCAAAAAACTGACGGAAACAGCAGATGCAGCAGCTGTGCTGCGAGATGCTGCGTATGCCGCCAGCAGCAGCAGAGGCAGCACCGACTGCTGCTGCTGTTGCTGCTGCTGCTGCTGCTGCACTTCATGCTGCAAACCCGCCGTGAGAACAGCTGCCACAGCTGAAGCCGCAAATCTCTGTGCTGCACTGCCCGCTGCTGCTGCTGCTTGCTGCTGCTGCTGCTGTTGCTGCAGCTGCTGTTGCTGCAGCTGCTGTTGCTGCTGCTGCTGCTGGCTGGGTGAGAGCGTAACGACGCACGTGACAAGGCAACGTCCTGCCGGGTCCGCATTATCCCTAGACACCTGAACCAGAAGCAGCAGCAGCAGCAATAGCAGCAGCAGCAATAGCAGCAGCAGCAGGAGGAACAGCAGCAGCAAAGCAGGCAGCAGCAATACCACTAGCGGCTGCGTATGAGGCTGCAACTACAGTAATAGGAGAAGCTGCAAAGGAAAACGCAGTTTCAGCAGCAGCAACAAAGTCAGCAGCAGCAGTACAAGCAGCAGCAGCAGTACAGGCAGCAGCATCAGCAGCAGCAGCACAGACAGCAGCAGCAGCAGCAGCAGGCCCACCTGCCAGCCAACTGAGGCCACTGAGGCGCAGCAGCGGCGTGGGGAATCGAAGAGTAAAGAAGCAAAACTTCGTGCTGCTGCTGCTGCAGCATCTACTGCTGCTGTTGCTGCTGCTGCTGCTTTGCCTGCTGCTGCTGCCAGAGGCTGTGGCAGCCAGTCTAAGTCAACGGGCCTTCCTCTCTTGGCCTTTAGATCCGCAGCAGCAGCAGCAGCAGCAGCAGCAGCAGCAGCAGGGCGCAGCGGGGAAACAGCAGCATTGCAGACGTCTATGCTGCTGCCAATTATATACAGAGTGCCGTCGGAATCTGCAAAGACAACACTCATCACAGTTGCTGCTGCTGCTGCTGCTGTTGCTGCTACTGCTGCTGCTGCTATTGTTGCCGCTGCTAGTGATGTTGCTGCTGCTGCTGCGACTGCTGCTGCGGGTGGTGTGCTGCTGGTGCTGCTGCTGCTACTGCTGCTGCTGCGCCAACTCACCAGCAAACCCTGAGCGAAGCAGCTCGACCTCACATCCCCTTACAGCAGAGGAGAGCAGCAGCAGCACAGCAGCAGCAGCTGCAGCACAGCAGCAGAATGCAAAAGCTGGCAGCGGCAGCAACAGAGCAGCAAGCACCAGCAGCAGCAACAGAGGAGAGGTGAGCAGCAGCCAAGAGGGGCAATGAAAGTCTGCAACACCAGCATCAACACGAGCCGCAGCAGCAGCAGCAGCTCCCGCTGCTGCTGCTCCGTCATCTGCTGCAGTAGCTGCTGCAGAAGCAGCAGCAAACCACCGCAGCAGCGGGGGAGGCAGCAAAACTTGAGTTAAATCCCCCTCGCATGATGCTGTGTCTAGGGGCTCTAATAGCTTCCATCTGCCGATAGAGAGAGGCAGCAGCAGCTGCTGCTGCTGCTGCAGCTGCTGCTGCTGCTCTTCGCTGCACACGGCTGTCCCCCAAGGGCTGTACAGACACTCTGGAGACATCAGCAGCCGCGCCACCACCTCCTGCAGCAGACACAGCAGCAACAGCAGCAGCAGCAGCAGCGTCTGTTGCAGGGATGCTCCAGCGAGAGATAAACCATTGAAACATAGTATGAATCACTTGGTCGCTGGCTATTAGACCTAAACCCTAAACCCTAAACCCTAAACCCTAAACAGCACCTGAGGGGCATCCACTTGCGAATGCGCAGCAAAACGCAGAGGGCCTCTCAGGTCTCGCCAGATGCAGCCGAGGCGGCTGCAGTGCAGCTGCTGCCAGTCCCTAAGCAGCAGCAGCAGCAGCAGCAGCACGGGCAGCAGCAGCAGCACACACAGCAGAAGCAGCATAAGCAGCAGCAACAGCAGCAGAAGCAGCAACAGCGGCAGGTTAGAAGAAGCAGCGCAGTTTGCTGAGTTTGTCTCGCGGTGCATGCGCTCCAAGCCAACTGTCTGCTGCTACTTTAAAGCCCCTTTAAATCGGCATCTAAACCCTAAACCCTAAACCCTGAACCATAGACTCTAAACCCTAAACCCTAAACTCTAAACCCTAGACTCTACAACGCCTTGTGGCCTCAGCCCTAAGCACTAAAACCCCTAGCCCTTGAACACCAAACCCTGAAGAAAAAGCCCTAGACCCCAAACTCTAAACCTTAAACCCTAAACCCTAAACCCTAAACCCTAGCTTCACCTGGCGCCGCTTTTGATATCTTCGAAGTCTCTAAGGAGTTGAGGGATAATATTTTTGAGGGGTAGAGGGAAGCAAAGGTTTCGTTTCTCTGCGCCTCTGCACTCATTTGGGTGTATATACACCTGAAGAGGTGCGGAGCCCGGGATCAGTGGGGCCTCCTCATCCCCAGCTGCTGCTGCTGCTCCTCCTCCTCCTCCTGCTGCTGCTGCTGCTGCTGATGGTGAGCCTGAAGCCCTATAAAACTGAAATGCATGCAGCAGCCTTAAGAGAGGAAAAGGTAAGAAAGGAAGGGGCAGCAGCAACACCGGCAGCTGCAGCGGAGGGGGCGTCAAACTGCTGGCGTTCACTGCAGCGCGAATTGCAGTAAGCCTAAACAAACAAATAAATAAATATATATATATATATATATAAATATAAATATATAAATATATAAATATATATGTAAATGCATATATAAATATATAAACAAAAATATACATATATATATGTACGTGTAAATATAGAAGTTAAGAAAATTAAATACATAAATAAATAAATATATGCAAATATATAAATAAATAAATATATGTATTAACTAATTAATTTGTATTAATTAATATAACTCAGTAGATGAATAAGTATGAGGGAGTATAACCAAATGCATAAACAAAAATAAAAAAAAATAAAAGTAAATGCATGCAGTAAGATAAAGACAAACAAATACAGAGAAAGACAGAGAAGAAGAGCAGCAAGAAAATAATAAATAATAAATACAAATATATATATATATATATAAAAGATAAACACAAAGACAGGGGCTCCTTAGTAAACAGCGAGAAGGCTTGCATGCCTTTACCGACTATTGTTGTTATATTTATTATT